ACCTCGAGGCGGCCGAGCAGCGAGGACGCGGCCGGGCAGCGCGACGAGGACGTGGCCCTTCTGGACATCTCCTTCCTGTGCTACGGCCTCCCGCACAGCTCCAGCAGCCGCAGCGTGGAGGAGCGCGGGGACAGCCCCGGGCTCGTCAAGCAGCGGGCAAAGGAAATAGAGGCCCGGATCCGGCACGCGGGGCTCACCACGCCATCCCACATGAAACGCTCGGCGTCCTTGGCCAAGCTGGACTGCCTGGATCTCTCCAAGGACGACTTATCCGAGAGGGAATCAGCCTCTTCCAACGCCAACCCGGTGCTTCTCACCTGCGTCGCACTCGGCCGAAGCTTTTGCAGGGGGACGTCGGAGGGGGGCTTAGAAGTCCCCTGTGAAAAGCACTGCGATGCCTCCCTGCCCGCCCTGCAGGACCCAAAACCCACCAAGCATTTTGTAGAACAGCTAAGAACGACAGAGTGCATTGCCCAGAGCAAGCCGGTGGAGCGGCCCTTAGCTCAGTACGCCAAAGAGTGCGGCTCGAGCCAGCAGGGCCCGTTCCCCGGTGCGGATCCCGCGTGGACTAGCTCCGGAGAGGGTCCCCCGCTGCTCCCCGGGCACCTCGTGGACTCCTTGTCCCCAGCCCCAAGCATTGCTGTCGCACCCCGACAGCAGCACGGGAGAACTCACCCTCTGAGGAGACTCAAAAAGACCAATGATAAAAAGCGGACAACCAATCCACTCTATAATACAATGTGATTCTGAGCCCTCAGCTGTGATTTCTTACAAAAGAGAACCCACGTTGTTGCGTTCACACAAGGGGCAGGTGTAATATATAAGGAACATGCACTTTATTGGTTAATTTTATATATATTGTCATTTTACTGTTCCTGGCGCATGTAGGTGTGGGTTGGTTCTTCTGTGTGTGACTCTGACTGCAGGACTGTGTGTTTTTTATTTTTTATTTTTTTTTAACTCTGATAACCTCAAATGTTCTTTTTTTTGTTAGTTTGTTTTAAAAGAACACCTTTAGCAAAGGAAAACTGCAGTCGGGTCACTTCTGCAAGGTGGAGTTTTGCATAGAACCCGGTCCTGGTTTCTAACTTGAATTTCTCCCCTGCTTTGAAACGGTGCTGGGCAGTCGTTGGAGCAAGAGCCCTCCCGTAAATGTGAAGGCTGTGCCAAGATCCCTCCGTTTGGCCTTTCTTTTATTTCTACAAACTGGAACTCCAGGACAGGGGCAGATCACTTAGGAAACAGCTTCAGGACAAGCTCCCAGCCTGGTTCTGCCAGTGCATCCCCAAGAGGAGGGTGCAGCAGTTAATCACACTCGTGGCCAGGCTTTAAAACCCACAGGCTGCTGGTTGCTGCCTGGCAGATCCCACATTTTGTAGCGAGGAGGAGCCCCGGCCTCCGCTGCGAGATGCCGTTTGGCCTCGATTTTGCCGGAAAAGCGCCGCGAGCAGAGGAGAAACCCGCAAAACCAGAGTGTTCTTTTAAAACAAACGGGTCTGTAGGGTTTTAACCCTTCCATTACTTGAATACTGCTGTGGGCCTTCCAAGTTCATGGCCATATCATCTGTCCTCTGCCCTCCTGCTGCCTCCCCTCCGCTGCTCTTGTGTCTTGGCCCCGCTCACGGGCACTTCTGTTTCCTTCCAGACCTCGCGCCTGTTCTACTTGTTACACCCTGGATTTCCCCACTGCAGGCAACGCTTGTCCTCTGCTGTCACTCCTAACACCCAACCCAGAGGGAAGATCTTTTCTGGAAGCTTTTTTTTTTTCTTCCCTAAATTGATGTATATATGCTATTTATATAGATTTTTTTTTTGTCATTTCTATGTTTTGGGTTTTGCTTTTTTCTAAGGAAAAAAAGGGGGGAGGGGGCAAGACTGCATTGTGTAAACTGGAAAACAAAACCACCTTCCGCAACCTCAGTGCTGTTGGTCGTAATCTCCGCGGAACTGGAGCGCATTTGACTCTGTAACTGTCTTCCCCGTCCCCCCGCGCGGCTCCGTGCCAGCATCTGCCAAACGTGTCCCTTGTCCTGCGTGGCAGGAGGGCAGCCTCGTCGCTGCGTCCCCCTCGGTGGTGGTGGCCGATGCGCCGGGTGGCCCCGTGCCCGCTCCACATTTCAGCAGGGTTTTGGTGTGTCTGTGGTTCCAGAGCTAATTGCAGGCTCATTTTTTTTTCCCCCAGCGGTGCAGAGCAGCAAACTGTCCCTGCAGGGAGCGCAGGAAAAGCCCCGTGCGGGGAGGCCGGGATGGGGAGCGGTGGCCCGGAGACTGATGCATCTCATCTCCATCCCCAGCACCGCGGAGCGTTGGGAAGCAGCGTGGGGCTGTCCCAGGGCGAGCGGGTCCCGGCCTCGTCCCCCTG